ATGTAGTCTCCCTCGTTACAGACAGGTTTAATCTCTACTGTGGAACATTCTAGACAAAGCAACAACACGTCCATGCAGACAACCAGAAGAAAAATGACGCAGTGGCCCTTTAACGCTACAATTTGTCACATCCTTAGTGCAAATTGCCGTCGCTACAGGCATTGCTGCTTCAGTTCTAATCCAGGAATTTGTGTAAACTTTTTAAGAGGTATTTATGGGTAATTGAGTTCAAGTGCAGTGAGAGGAGCAGACAGGTGGAGCAGTCAGCACAGACGCCACGCTGAGATCTTAAGTAACTCATGCACCAAATTGTCATGTTCCCACGCACTCCATCGCTGACTGTGTGGTCAACGCACTCTGACTTACAAGCACAAACTTTACATCCTCTGTTTGGAATCAACTATCTGTGCAGAATGATGAGAAATGAGAACTGTTGCCATGGCGTTTAACAATTTCAAACAAATTATAGTAGCTCTTTAACTACACTTGGGCATGTCTTAAAGGAGCACTGTGTAACTTTTCTGGTAGAGGAGGATTATACTGTTTTGGCCCCTGATTATCAACTTGGTAATCGAAATGGAGACGGGTTAATGGTCAGGTCTATGGAGAAGCAAGCCTGCACATAGCAGAGTTGGGGACTTGCAATTCATGACTTGGACTCGAGTCAGACTTGAGTCACTATTTTTAGAGTTGAGACTTGACCTGATAAAATGGACTAAGACTTGGGACTAGATTTGGATTTGAAGGTTAATGACTCGGGACTTGACTCGGACTTGAGAAAATTTGAGAAGCACTTTTAAATCTGAATTCTTTCTATTCTGACCCTAATGATTCACACTAACATCTTGTCAAGACATTTTTAAAGGAAAAATTAACTAAATTAATTTCTACAACTCTTATATAAATACTCATACAGAAATATACCATGATTTTTTTAAGTATAATTTAGTTTAAAAATCATATAAATTGCAAAAATCTAAGCTATATTTGGTACTTTTGTTTAAAGACTTGAAATGATTTGAAGCTCAGAGCAGATGACTTGGACTTGACTTGGACTTATGGGCCAGTGATTCGAGACTCGACTTGGGACTTGACTCGGACTTGAGGTGAAAGATTTGAGACTTATTTGAGACTTGCAAAACAATGACTTGGTCCCAGCTCTGGCACGTGGTAAGAATTCATGTTTTTAAAGAGTTTTTTGAGCTATAAAACTTCTGTAATTGAACAAATGCAAGAGAAATAGGTTTAATGCCCTACTGTGGAACATTCCAGGTAAAGAAACATCTCCATGGAGACAAGAAAGTAGCAATCCCACCACCTTAGAAGTCACATAGTGTATCTTGAATAAAGCACGAACCAAGATCAACATTTAGTCTTAGTAACTACTTCATTAAATTTCATAACTCCTTACCACCCCTAAAGATTTTACTAAATATTTTGCTCTTTCCTCTTATTTTCTAGTTTTACATTTTGAAGAAAGTATGTCTAAAGGTGTGAAGTTTATTTCTTGGTTGGCCATGTGCACCAGTTATGTCACACGCAGAGCTAATCCAATAACTGTTACTTAGCAACCATAACGTTAACAAGAAGCAAAGCTCAAACAAATGACACAATAGTTTATATTCTATGATTAGATTAAGGACAACTATTTTGTTAAATGTTAAAGTTTAAACTACAAGGATAATGTGTCCCTTGTGCGCTAATTGTTATTGTATTTTGGATAGAATTTTGTGTGTTGATGTCAGAGGCAAGAAGACCTACTCTGCTACTTTACTGATGGAAAACTGTGATAAGTACGACAGGTTTGTTTATATAGTACAAAAACATAAAGTAATCCAGTACTATCTCACTAAATCATATAATAATTAGAACAACATGGATAAGGATAAGGCTAGGTATCATTAAGAAGTTGCCGGTACAATACATAGGCCATGACATGATACATATCTCGATACAGTGAGCTTTCAATTCGATACGATATATTTCAAATCGATTTGATACGTTTCAATAAAAAATAAAGGTTAAATCATGGCTGTGATACTAAAAGTCTTTGTTAAACCACTTCTTGTGCAAAGTGAATATGAAACGCAAATATTTTAATCATCAAAACAGTGAAAATGTCAAATGTGTCGCAAAAGTGTCGTTTTTAGGGGTGTCTCATGATGCGATATCGTCTTGGTATGAACCTCACGGTACGATATTTATTGCGATATCATGGGAAAGCTCACGATATGAAGGGGAGGCTCACGATTAGGGATGTAACAATATCCAAATCTTTCAGTACGATATTTTCTCAATATACATCTCACAGTACGATATTTACTGCGATATTTTGTGGAGGCAATAAAAACCGTGAATATGCTACTTTTTCCTCTTAAAATGCCTTGACAAGACTTAATCCTAAGAACTAAGACTTAAAAGTGCTTAGAACTGTTATTTCTTCATGTAGTTTACACTGAAATGGAGCAAAGGATCATGGTCTATGTAGTTCCCCATGTTTTTTTAGGTATTACTGCTCCATAACTCTTAATTTAAGCAAGAGACTTGTGATTGTGATGGTCCACGATATTATTGTGAGAACTTTGACGATACGATCTCACGGTATTTCAGTTATTGTCGTTTCCTTCCACTAAACAAGCAACAAAACTGTAGCGCTGTAACAAAATAATTTAGTGAAATACACCAAAAAATACTCTTGCCGATTTATTAATACAGCAGCTCATGATATCGATGCTGTACCAGTACATTAAATGATACGATATATTGATATTTTGATATTTTTGCACACCCCTCTTCAAAAACACCTCATCAAAAACACATCTGGAGTTGTGTTTTTTTTTTCTTTTTCTTTTCATTCACACATGTTTAACACACAAACCCTGCAGATTGAGGCTGAGTTTAAACACTCTATTCCTTGAGACGCCTTGTGGTAATACAAGAAGTGCTCCATTGTGTTTTTAAACTCCATGCACCTTCACTAGAATCATTTGGACCATTTCAGCCCTAGAATCGACCAATCTCTACTGAAGGAAAACTTGAAAACTACACTTTCGTGACATCACAAGGTGGTACGGAGCAGCTTGAGCTTTGGAGATGTAGACAGACTAATAAACTTAAACGTGTGAATAAAGCAAAACACAACTCCAGGTCTGTTTTTGAGAAGGTAACAACATTCTAACATGGCTTAACGCTCACTAAAGCCAATGGACCTTTAAATTCCTGCGTACAAAATACACCACAGTGGACTGACCGGTGTGCAAAAAGCTAACGCGCCAACTTCCACACGCAGATATAGGATTTATGGGGTATTGAATGACATAATCTCCCATTGCCCTTATTATTGTTTTGGATTAAGACGGCAGATTTGCACCGACTCGTTTCAAAACACAGTTAAGCAGATGAGACGCCGAGTGAGTTGTCGCCGTGGAAATATTGGCTGATTCCATCTAAAGTAAAGATTCTTGATAGACTCCGATCGGTTACGCAGTGTTGAGCTTAAGTGGCGCGTAAGTAGTGAAAGATTTAACGAAAGGAGGATCTGCAATGAGCATAGCAGATGTCAAAATATAATCATCATCTCGGTTAAAGAGGTAAAGAGAGGGACGATGTACTTAGGAAAGTGCCGATACTTCAGCTATTACTGCTACTACTACAATGAGTTTTACAAGGTTAGTACCACCACAGCACCTACTGCTACTACCAGACGTACCACAACTACCACAACTACTACTGTTTTCATGATCATTTCCATACTGACTCATCGTTAATGCATGACGGATCACTCATTTCTGAAGGTCAGTATTTGCTTCTTTGCACTTGTGGGAAAGTTTTGGTTATATTTCTGTTCTAGTTTGTAGTAGATTTGAGCTGTAAAAGAACTTCCACGACTTATTAAAGATACAAACTTACTACTAAAGTGTTAGAGCTCGTATTTTTTTAAACAATATTGTACATTTTGAATATTTTGGAAGGAATAATTCTGCTTTGTGAGTTGGTTTCTACATTATCGTTTATAATTTATATTTACTTTAGGCTCAACTACTACTACTACTACTACTACTACTACTACTACTACTACTACTACTACTATTTTTACTATTACTATTACTATTATTACTAATTTAGTAACTCTGACAAATATTTATAGGGCAACCTTAAAATATAGCCTACATACAGGTTACTACTTCTATTACTACTACTTACTACTTACTTAATACTAGTCCTACTACTCCTACTTTTCCTACTAGTCCTACAACTCCTACAACTCCTACAACTCCTACAACTCCTACTACTCCTACTACTCCTACTACTCCTACTATTTTTTTAAACTACAAGCAGTCAAATGTGGTATTGCTGCAAAATATTTATAGGGCAACTTCAAATATAGCCTACATACAGGTTCCTACTACTCCTACTCCTAGTATGTTTCAAAACTACTAGAAGTCAAATGTGGTAACCCTGCGAAATATTTATAGGACTACCTCAAAATATATGCACGAATACGTAAGTTCCTAGTGACATTTCTATCCCAAAAGTAGGCTGACCAGATTTTCAAAATAAAAAACTGGGACACTCCTGGTTTGGACCGTTTGGTAATAATCAAATTGTGAAATGAGGGCGCAATTAAGGAAAATTGTTCCATTCATGACAAACATGAGTCAGTATAGTCACGTTTTCTTTGGGTTTTGGGTCATTTTTAAGCAGCTTCTTTGTATTTTACCTAAACAAGTGAAAATCTATGCCTCTCTTTACTGTTTTCTGGGATCAAACTGGTCAAAAATGAGCACATCAGGGATATTTCTTGTATCAAACTTGGACAAATCAGTGGTTTTGGATAAATCTGCTGGGACAAGGGACACAGGACTCAAACTTGGGACTGTCCCGGGTCAAATGGGACGTCTGGACACCCTACCCAAAAGGATAAATACACGAAACCATTCAAACTGACGCGCGTAACTCCTCCACCAGCAGCAGCAGCAGTTCCAGAGAGCGGCACTCACCTGTCATACTCCGCGTTGTCCTTATCGCAGCGCGCGTCTTTATGCTTCTGCCAGTCCTTCCCGTGCTTACACGTCGTGAGCAGCACCACGTCCTCCGCGTTATGCACGTGGTATAAGGCATTCCTGGTGTCCGACCCGATCCCGGTCAGGTAACGCTTCCCTTTGAAAACCAGCATGTACTTTCTAAACGGCGGGATGGTGTTGTACTTGAGAAAGCCCCTCTCGCCACCTGTCCTCGGGTGATCCTTGGAGAACAGCGGGATGGACACGTCGAAGTTGGGCCTGAAAGTGTCGGAGCTGATGCTGGCTTTGGCCAACATGGCTTGCCCGATGTCAAACCCCAGATCTTCCGTGTAGTCTGGCCACGTGCCGGAATATAAGTTAAATATAAGGTGGTTTCTCCCTTCGTTCCATAGAGGCAAGTTCTGGATCTTGGTCTTGAGGTTGTGCACGTACTGAGGGGAGAGCTGGTCCCTGTCCAACGTGTCCAGACTCAAAACAAACAAACACGCTTGCCCCGGGTCAGACGTGTAAAACCTAGATCCTTCTATCGTGGCTAAAATGTTCTGGTAACTCTCCGAAATCTTCTCTCCTTTTTGCTGTGGGTAAACATAAACTTTAAATCCGTTCTTCTGACACAGAGAGTAGTCAAAGCAGGAGTCCATGCGGCACCGTTTCCCCTTGTAAACACTCGTATTGACGTCTTTCTTCTGTCGCGGAGATATGTGCAGGTTGTACTCCTCCGTGTCCGTCTGGTCCCAGGGCAGCAGCGGCGGTAAGGGGTCCGAGAAGTGCGGCCACGGCTGTTCCTTTCTGACCCCGCGCTCATGCCTGGTCTTCCGCGCCGGTGGCAGGTCAATAAGGAGGTAGAAGAGGAGCGCAAGGGAAGCACCGGCGGAGAGCAGGATCAGGTAGCGTTTTTTGGCCTGCATGTGTCCCGGGAACAGATGAGACTTGTAAAGGAATAACAAAATTAAAGTAGCCCCAAGTTTGGCTCTTACTCACCCCGGCTACACCGCTCCATCCTCCGACTCCCCCCTTCAGAGTATTCACTTCCCAAAACCACAAATTGTTCCTGTGCATGTGGGCGATTTGGTTACAAGTCTTGTCCCTTATTTCTCCCTCTGATGAAGAGTTTGACCATATTTGCTTCAGCTACTTTACGCGTCTCCCAAGCCTCATCCAGACCGACTTGTGTGGTTCCTCTCCCCGGGTAGCTCACCACAGCCAGCCGCCTTGGGAACTCTCTCCCGCGGCTGGGGTCCGCTCTCAGATGGAAAGGTACAGCCCGTTTTGGATGTTTCGGAGCCGCTAACGCATTGGGCAGGAGTGCAAGCCCCGCTCCGTGTCGTCTTCCTCCGCTGAATGAGTCTTATTCCCGGTGTTTGCTCACTCCATGGTCCCGCGTGAACAGCAGCACGAGCGGAGCACAGCGTAGCTCAGCAGCACAAATGTAACCTGACGAATCCCTGCATTTCGCTTCTTATTTATTACCCGCTCCACGCTCTGTCTCCTGTGCGTAAAATCAAAAGAAAAAGCGGAGAGAGGAGCAGCGTACGTAGTGAACAGTCCGGACCACCACACCTCGGTCTCCACACCGGGCAAACAGCACAAGAAATGCTCCAAAAGACGAGATTCCTTGATCCCAGTCTCCAATTACCGAGTGCTCAGTTGTTTCGATTGTTAGTCGGTAACATTCCAATCCCGACACGACGGCAGCTGACGCGACGTCCCACCGCTGCGCACCAGCGCCTCTGATTGGTCCGTGTGTGGGAACGGAAGAGGCGGGACTAAGGGAATGCACCCATTCATAACCAGAGTCCTCTACATGTGCACATTATTCTTTTGTCAAACGGAGAGGAGAGCGGAGGAGCTTTGGCGACGCTTGAGCAGGACAACAGCGCGGCCCAAAGTTTTCTGCCGCTCTGCGTGAGCTGCGCTGTGACACCCACATCAAAGCTGCACGCGCTCCCAACTTTTGTTGTTCTCACACTCGTAGTGCAATTTAAAGCAGACACACAGCGCTTGTGTCTGGCAGATAGTTAGAACCATTTAGGAACATAAAACTTAATGCGCTTAATGATTTTAATGGTGCGTTTTAATTTCACTGCAATTTTTATGTTTTGCTATTTTTTAAAATATGTTTCAAAATTCTGTGGACTATGATAATATGTAAGGCAAGGCACGTTTATTTGTATAGCACAATTCGTACACAAAGTAATTCAAAGTGCTTTACAGAATAAGAAATACATTAAAATAAAAACAAATCAAAACATAAATAATCATGAAGATTAAAATGAAAAAAGAGAGACATAAATGAAAGAGAAGAGTGCAGAATGAAAACCTTTCAGTCATATGTATGTCATTTCTTTTGATGTGATTGTCGTTAGTTTGTGTTATTATTAATACATTCTATATTTAGATTTGATATTATTTCCTAAAGAAGACCTTGTGCTTGTGTCTGTTTTATATCAATCAATCAATCAATCAACAATTGTATTAATCCCAAAGGGCAGTTCAGTTTGCACATCTCTGGTCACGCACAATATGTAAATATAAATAATAAAGAAAAAGAAGTAGTTAGTAGTTAGTTAGTATAGTTCTAATCTACAACACCCGGGATCATTCTGTGATCATTTGGACTCTTTAAAAGTACTTCATAAAATAAACAAATCAAATCAAATTGGAGATTGAATTTAGGACAGAACAGTGGGCGTTTACTGGTGGCAATAACGTCTTGTAAATAAGCAATTAAAACCTGCTCAAACATGCACAAAGGGAGGGGAAATGAGAAGTACAACTATACAACATGGTTAAAGCTCTGAGAAGTTGATTTCACATAACAGGTGTAGGAGCTATTTACTTCTTTTTTTATTCTAACATGAGTTTATTATTTTTGTTTGTCAGTTATATATATTTCTGCTGTGTTAATATTATGTTTGCTGATTTCTAGTCTAATTTGCTACTATTTATCTTGAGCACCTTTTCTATTTTTGGTTTAATCTGGGTCACCGAGGGGGTAAAGGAGGGTGATACTCGTAGACTAGAGTGCACCTGGGTGGGCCTGTGGGTTTTTTTTACCACTTGACAGGAAAAGCAGCAAGAGTAGGCCTTGTTGTTTACCTAAAACTGGAAATAAATCTTAGAAATGCAACTCTGGTCATGGATATTGATTTGTTTTTTGTTTTTTTTCTTTTTGTCACTGCATAAACCATAAACCCATGGTGCCTAAACGTGATTATTTGAGTTATGTTTAGTTCTGAGTTCTGAGACTGTTCCTGCTTATTACAGCAGATCCACCTAAAATATAACCAGTGTCGGGAAGGTTACTTTTAAAATGTATTCTCCTACAGATTACAGATTACATACCTCAAAATGTAGTTTGTAACGGAATCCATTCAATTACTTAAGGTGAGTAATGTAATCTGAATACTTTGGATTACTTGATTTGCTGTGAGACCAGGATATCGTAACATAAGATGTTTTGTCTGCTAAAAGACAATTTTAAAAAGCCCAGACTTTACTGAACCAGATTAAAAATATTATTGATAGAAGAGGAGGAGACACGGTCCACGCAGCAGGATTTAGTCCTGTTAAATCCTGTATTAGACCTGGTTTAGTCCTGGTTTAGTTCTGTTTAGTCCTGGTTTAAACCTGGTTTTAGTCCTGGTTTAGACCTGGTTTAGACCTAGTTTAGACCTAGTTTAGACCTGGTTTTAGTCCTGGTTTAGACCTAGTTTAGACCTGGTTTTCTAGTTTAGACCTAGTTTAGACCTGGTTTAGTGTAGACCTGTTTACCTGGTGTAGACCAAGTTTAGACCTAGTTTAGACCTGGTTTAGACCTGGTTTAGTCCTGGTTTAGACCTGGTTTTAGACCTGGTTTAGACCTAGTTTAGACCTGGTTTAGACCTGTTTAGTTTAGACCTGGTTTTAGTCCTGGTTTTAGACCTGGTTTAGACCTGGTTTACCTGTTTAGACCTGGTTTTACCTGGTTTAGACTGGTTTAGACTGGTTTAGACCTGGTTTAGTCCTGGTTTTAGACCGTTTAGACCAAGTTTAGACCTAGTTTAGACCTTAGTTTAGTCCTGGTTTAGACCTGGTTTTAGACCTGGTTTAGTTAGTTTAGACCTGGTTTAGACCCTTTTAGACCTGGTTTAGTCCTGGTTTAGACCTAGTTTAGACCTGGTTTTAGACCTGGTTTAGACCTGGTTTAGTCCTGGTTTAGACCTGGTTTTAGACCTAGTTTAGTTTAGACCTAGTTTAGACCTGGTTTAGACCTGGTTTAGACCTGGTTTTAGTTTTCCTGGTTTAGACCTGGTTTTAGACCTGGTTTTAGACCTGGTTTAGACCTAGTTTAGACCTGGTTTAGTCCTGGTTTAGACCAAGTTTAGACCTAGTTTAGACCTGGTTTTAGACCTGGTTTAGACCTGGTTTAGTCCTGGTTTTAGACCTGGTTTAGACCTAGTTTAGTCCTGGTTTAGTCCTGGTTTAGACCTGGTTTAGTCCTGGTTTAGTCCTGGTTTAGACCTAGTTTTAGACCTAGTTTAGACCTGAGTTTAGACCTGGTTTAGACCTGGTTTAGTCCTGGTTTTAGACCTGGTTTAGACCAAGTTTAGACCTGGTTTTAGACCTGGTTTAGACCTGGTTTAGTCCTGGTTTTAGTCCTGGTTTAGACCAAGTTTAGACCAAGTTTAGACCTAGTTTAGACCTGGTTTTAGACCTGGTTTAGACCTGGTTTAGTCCTGGTTTTAGACCTGGTTTTAGACCTGGTTTAGACCTGGTTTAGACCTAGTTTAGACCTGGTTTAGTCCTGGTTTAGTCCTGGTTTAGACCAAGTTTAGACCTAGTTTAGACCTGATTTTAGACCTGGTTTAGACCTGGTTTAGTCCTGGTTTTAGACCTGGTTTAGACTTAGTTTAGTCCTGGTTTAGTCCTGGTTTAGACCAAGTTTAGACCTAGTTTAGACCTGGTTTAGACCTGGTTTAGTCCTGGTTTAGTCCTGGTTTAGACCAAGTTTAGACCTAGTTTAGTCCTGGTTTTAGACCTGGTTTTAGACCTGGTTTAGACCTGGTTTAGTCCTGGTTTTAGACCTGGTTTTAGACCTGGTTTAGACCTGGTTTAGACCTAGTTTAGACCTGGTTTAGTCCTGGTTTAGTCCTGGTTTAGACCAAGTTTAGACCTAGTTTAGACCTGATTTTAGACCTGGTTTAGTCCTGGTTTTAGACCTGGTTTAGACCTAGTTTAGTCCTGGTTTAGTCCTGGTTTAGACCAAGTTTAGACCTAGTTTAGACCTAGTTTAGTCCTGGTTTTAGACCTGGTTTAGACCTAGTTTAGACCTGGTTTTAGACCTGGTTTAGTCCTGGTTTTAGACCTGGTTTAGACCTGGTTTAGACCTGGTTTAGTCCTGGTTTAGTCCTGGTTTAGACCAAGTTTAGACCTAGTTTAGACCTAGTTTAGTCCTGGTTTTAGACCCGGTTTAGACCTAGTTTAGACCTGGTTTTAGACCTGGTTTAGACCTAGTTTAGACCTGGTTTAGTCCTGGTTTAGACCAAGTTTAGACCTAGTTTAGACCTGGTTTAGACCTGGTTTAGTCCTGGTTTAGTCCTGGTTTAGACCAAGTTTAGACCTGGTTTGGACCTAGTTTAGACCTGGTTTTAGACCTGGTTTAGTCTTAGTTTAGCCCTGGTTTTAGACCTGGTTTAGCCCTGATTTAGTCTTAGTTTAGCCCTGGTTTTAGACCTGGTTTCAGCCCTGATTTAGTGTACATCAATGAGTGGAATTACCGAGAAAAAAAACAGGAAAATACCGCCATGTACCGTCCATTTATTTCAACAAAGTAACTGTAATCCAATTAACACTCACTGAAACAGTAACTGTAACTGAATACAGTTACTCATAATTTGTACTCTGATTACATAACTTCAGTACATATAATCTGTTTCTCCCCGACACTGATTATAACAATATGAACAAACACAGTTTGAAGAAGTCAGCTCCACTGAAACTTGGGCCTAAACAAACCACAGTGACTTGCATGTATAGAGGAGACCACTTGACAGGCAAATTAATAGCAGAAGAGAGCTCTGGCCGAGTGTCACCATGGCTCATAAGTTCCCATAATCCTCTGTGCTGCCAGTCTGCACCGCGACGCAGCAGCGGTGAAGGGCCAGCCTCATTTTTTATCGCCCAATTAGCTCAGAAGAGGGGCACTAATTAGCAGGGCTGGCTGGGACAGGAGCCAGGATCCACGGGCTGCCCACCTCTCGTCTCAATGCCCAGAGAAGAGGAGGCCTGTGGGGTTCCAGCGCTCTGCTCCTGTCCACTGCTCCTCGTGGTCTCGGGGTATAAACAGGAAAACAACATGGAGGACTCACAGACTACTCCTCAGGGATGTAAAGAGAGACAAGTTTTTCTTAAGTTATTTAGACGCTGGGTGCACTCACTTGGCCTGGTTTTGTCCTGGTTTGATATAAATTAAGCAAAATTGACTCTTGTGAGTTTTAATCCATGTTATAATGCTGTTAGCTCATCAAAAACATACTTGCTTTTGTTTCATTCACACAGTTCTGCGCTATCTTGGTTTTATTTGGTCTGTTTAGCTACATTTACCTTTTGTTCAGTTTGTTGAAATTGGTCATTCTCGGGCTGAAGTAGCAGCTTAGATGAGCCGCAAAACGTATTCAACCAAAATAAACTTTT